TTTTTTTTTTTTTTTTTTTTTTTTTTTTTTATAAATGAAATAAGGATATTTTATTTAGTTAACCGGAGAGAAAAATGAAAAAAAAACAGAAGTTAATTTTAAAAAAATTTTGTTTTTAATTTTTTTAATTCAAAATTCATTTTTTTTCCTTTTCGATTTGTTTTCCATTTTACCAAACACATGATCAAACCAAATAGTTACACATGTTATATTATTCAACACACATATTGTTAGGGATGAAAAGAAATATTTACGCACGTTGCAGATAATTTAGATAGATATATTCATATCTATTAATAAATGAGGACCACGATGATTATTAAAATACCTGTCTTATGAATATCTGTTAAATATATATGTTATAATAAAATTACTTAATTTTTTTTTTGTTAAAATATATATTATGTGTTAAGTAAAAATATAATATTACTTAAATTTCTTTTATTTAAACTTGTCAACTTGAAATATTATAACTTTTGAATTTTGATTTTAGACTTGTGGGATTGAATTGTTTTATTTTATTGAATTTATTGAAATTTATGAGATTGAAGTACTTTAACAATTAAATTTTTTTAATTTTAAAATTAAAGAATCTTGATCAATAAAATTGTGTATAATATTTAAATAATTTAAGTTTTAAATTTTTAACTATTATTTTTAAAGAAATTATTATAATAAATAAAAATTATTATTAAATTAATTTTTAAATTATTTATTTTTTTAATAAATATTCCTGCATAATCGTGGATAAAAAAATATATGAAGATATCCACTTATCTGATACTTGCACAAATATGAGAATGAATACAAAATATTTATCCAGAAAAAGAATTACTACTCATAACCACATTGTATTGTATTGTTGGACACATATTATCGCATAGTTCTATGATATGAATAAAAAAATATTTTTATATAGCAAAATAGCCGTTTAAGTGTTTTTCTTTTAGTTCTCCTTCTATCTTCATTAGCTAAATTCAAGGTTAATTTTATGGTTACAATTATTATTTACCTAAATTTTATTAAATTAATACAAGAATAAAAAAAAATTCCTATTTAATGAAGTTTTTTTTTTTTTGTAAAGTTAATGAAGTTAATTATATAGATGAAACGATGTTATAGTATTTTATTGTAAATCATATCTATAAATAGTTAACGTTTGACTAATATAAAAAAATAAAATTTCACAAACACTTATAGAGAAAATGAGATGGGCACGTGTGCTTTAAACTTATAAGATGACTTGTTGATGACGTGAAATATAAAAACACTACTTGTCGGGTATTATGGGATACAATTATACGCCTTTTAAGGCCATTACTTTAGTTTTATTCACAGACTCAGGTTGATCTTTAAATATATAATCATTCCAATATTCAATTAGTTGTGGGAGATTAAGATATGATAAATTGAAATTCTATTATTTTCATTATAATTTTTATAAACAAAGATTTAACTATTCGATTATGTGCAAAATGCCTGACTATTAAACTTCTTGTTTCATTTAGAAAAGATATATATTTGTTAATCAACACTGCACCAAAATTAATTTTTTTTTTGTAGAAATTAATTTATTATTTAGCAATCATATAAATGACCATTATTTTTTTAGCAGCATTTAAATAAAGGCTGGTGTATTCAGTGTCACTAATATTATTACTAGCATTTATATAAAATGTTGGTAAAGATCTACTAAATTGTCGAAAAAACTTATTTTTTTAGTGGCAATTCTAGTAGTCATTTTAAAGATTATTAAAAGTTATTTTTTTTTTCAATTGTCTCCTTTACTTTAAATAATTTATTCCTATAATTTTCTTTTCTAAATTCATAACTTATATACTTTTTTTATCTCTACTCGACGTGTGATTTGTAAGATGAAGGTTGTCTTTTATTTATATATATTTTAATTTATTTTTTTTAATTTTCTTGTCCCTTAAGAAATGTAAGATTTATAAGGTAAAAGTTGCTCTCTAATTATTTTATAACACTATTGAATTTGGTAATAATGAGTGATTTGATACCAATTTAGATTAGTGAATTAGGAGTCAACTCTATAAAATGAACTTGTAAGATGATAATTATTACTCACTTATATACTATTTAATTATCTTATCTCTAATCGATGTGAGACTTAAGTTTTTTCTAATAAATAATTGTTGCTAATAGTAAACTTTAGTGTAATATAAATATATTTTTAGTGACTATTATATATTAGCCATTAATATTTTTATATATGACGGCAATTAAATTATTGTCATTAAATAATTGTCGTTAATAACAAATTTTGTTGAGTGCAAACATAAAAAAAATAATACTAAAATCATAATTAGGCTGATAGAGTTAGTAATATTTTCATAGTCATTATTTATCGATTTTATTAATGATTAATTTTTATTACAGCTAGAACTTAATTAATCACTTAATAGATAGAGTTAGATATAAAGAGTTGAAGGATACCAAAGATAAAAAATAATATAGTTAAATGAATGGTAAGGTTTGATTTTTTATTTTTAATAAAGAGATGAATAAGTGCTCCGGTCCTTTTCTTCTATCCTTCTTTCATAGCAATTCTTCTATGATAAGGAGACCCTTTTTTCTTTTATATTCCTTTACTTCATTATTTAAAGATATTGGGTGTGAAATGTTTTTCCCCCAACAATAACATATCGCATTAATTTTGTATACTTAAACATTATTGGGTGAGACTCATGAAAATCAATATGAAATGAATTTGACGTAAGAAAAAACATAATAAAATGCACCAACTATATATAACCCAACAAATTATAAAAAAAAATTAACACCATTTTACATTTATACTTGCATTCTGTAATGTGTAAAATTAACTATGATCAATGAGTATGAAATTTCTCTGTAAGTATTATTGCACTATGAATTTCTTACAATGAAATGTTGAGCTACCATGACTAGTAGCAAATACAGAGAAAAGAAATAACGAAAGTAGGGAAAATATTGAGAGAGAGAAAACCAGAATCAGCCTTTCTATGTCCTCTCCCTTGTAATTAATTGGCTATATACTATCATGCTCTCACGCGTAATACCTCCAACGTGAATTTGATATTCTATTTCTCTTACTTTTCTGCACGTCCACCTTCCATGAATTAGTTGCCACCTGTCCCCTAGATGATGTGTCAGCTTCACTCTCCTTGTCCTTTCCCTTAATTACCCTTCTCTCATTTGTAGATGTGACAATACCATCCCCTTTAACCACAAGCTTGTCCTCAAGGTTGAAAGTTGGAAATGCCTCTGTCAAAGCATTATGATCCTCCCAAGTAGCTTGTGAAACATCAAGTCCTTGCCATTGAACTAAATGTTGTATCACTTGCTTCGATCCCCGAAGTATAACACGAGTCTGTAAAATACTGGATGGCTGTCCAATGCGCTCCACAATTGGAAAAGGACCACAATTGGCAAACAATTTATGTTGTTGCAATAGGAGGAGGACCATTTCTAAGTGTTGTAAATGTGTAGACCTAGATGTACTATACACAAGGATATCATCAAAAAATACAAGCACAAACTTCCTCAACAACCCACTAAAGACCTCATTCAACATGTTTTGCACCATAAACTCAATCTGTTGTTTCTGGCGGTGAGGATATCGATAAGGTCTCACTTTAACTGGTGTTGTACCTGACTTCAATGGAATGGAATGGTCTTGAGAGCGCCTAGGAGGTAATCCCGTTGTTACAGCAAAAACATCCTTATTGTAAGTATGTAGCAATCTAGCTAATTCCGACTCCATATCAGTTGGTAAATCTAACCACTGATCTTGTGGACAGGCAGGGGGTTGAAATTGTAGAGGAAACAACTCAGAAATGGCATGAGTGTTCTGCATCCTTCTGAGGTGATTAAATTGAGCAGGTCGAGGAAGCTGCGACGGTTCACCTTGTAAAGTAATAAATTTTTCACCCATATAAAATTTCAAGGTTAGATTGCTGTAATCTGAAACATGAGGGCCGAGTGTTGCTAACCAAGCTGCTCCCAACAATAAATCAGTGCCAGAAACATTTAAAAGATACACGGGAAGCTTTAGCTGTTGTCCTTGAATTTGAACATCCAAGTCACGAACCAATCCTTCAACCTGCAGAGAATTTCCGTTACCAACTAAAACTTGGAATTGAGGAATTGGATCAATAGGCTATTTCAATGAATGAGCAATCTGAGGTTGTAAGAAATTATCTGAGCTCCCACTATCAAGCAACACTTGCACTAAAAGGCCATTGATTGAACCTTGGAACTTCATGGTGCCTAAACCCGAGGAACCCTTCAAGGCATTATAAGATAAGTGAGGTTGCTGCAAACTCAAAGTAGAATTAGCGCCCAGTATATCAGGAGGGTCAGGTTCCGGCTCATTAATATCATCCTCTTCTAATTGTAAAAGAAGGTACTGCTTGTTGGGACATCTATGACTGGAAGAGAACTTCTCATCACATGTATAACACAATCCCTTCTCCCTTCTTAATTGCATCTTTGTAGGAGAAATCTTCTTAATCGTGTTAACGAGAGAACTTTGGTTTGGGGTGGGCAATAATGGTGGTGAACTGGTAGTTCGAAGGGTTTGGGATAAGGGTAGGCTAGTTTGGTATGGTTTGTGGTTAGGAATGTATTTTTCTTCATATAACTTGTCTAACGAAATAGATCGGATCAAAGTGGTAGGAGCCTGTGCAATAACATCCCTCCTAATCTTAGGTTTTAAACCACCCACAAAGCAATCCAAAAGAGCATCAATGGTAATTCCATGCACACGGTTCGCCAAAGAAGTGAACTACACATAATAATCCTGCACTGACTCGGCCTTTGTCAATTTGAACAAATGTGACCTAGGACATTCATATGGTGAATGACCAAATTCAATCTCCAAAAATCTTGTAAGGTCAACCCATGAATGAAATGTATTGGTGCGAGTCATCATTTGATACCATGGAACGACGTCTTTATCTAGGTGTATAGTAGCAATGGTAAGTTGTTGTGCATCAAGAGTGTTATAGTAATTAAAGAATTGCTTTGCTTTGAAAATCCATTGAAGCACATCAGTACCATCAAAACGCGAAAAATCCAATTTAACGTTTCGTACCTGGAATGGTTGAACCGAAGCACCACCGTTTGTTTCTCGTATTAGCTTTTGTTTCATCAATTCATCCACAGCAGATTCTAATGTCTCAAATCTAGTTGAATCCTCTTTATCACGATTTTCCATCCATTCCAGAATGCGCTTCACATTAGAGGAGAGTTCTTTTAAGCGAGTATTTTCTGCCATGACAAAAATGAAAGCACCAATTTGTAATGTGTAAAATTAACTATGATCAATGAGTATGAAATTCCTCTGTAAGTATTATTGCTCTATGAATTTCTTACAATGAAAGGTTGAGCTACCATGACTAGTAGCAAATACAGAGAAAAGAAATAACGAAAGTAGGGAAAATATTGAGAGAGAGAAAAAACTAGAATCAGCCTTTTCATGCCCTCTCTCTTGTAATTAATTGGCTATATACCATCATGCTCTCACACGTAATACCTCCAACGTGAATTTGATATTCTATTTCTCTTACTTTTCTGCACGTCCACCTTCCATGAATTAGTTGCCACCTATCCCCTAGATGATGTGTCAGCTTCACTCTCCTTGTCCTTTCCTTTAATTACCCTTCTCTCATTTGTAGATGTGACACATTCCCAATTTTAATTTATATGAGATTCAAATTTGAAAATTTTATTTTCACTCAATGCAATATTTAATTATGAATTTGTATTTTTTTAATTGTTATTAAGCAATATTATACGATTATATTAGAGAGAGAAAGACATAATCTTTTATCGAATAAGACTCATTATGTTGACCGTAAAACTTATTAAACACTAATTATATTCCATAATTTTTTTTATCGAATAAGACTCATATTTATGTTGACCATAAAACTTATTAAGAACAAATTATATTCCTAAAAATTGTGCTTCAATTTAACATGACCTTATGGTTACTCAATAAATGAAAGGGTTGAATCTCTAATTTTTTTTAATTGTAATTGTGCACAATTTGCTTATATGATCTGGATGATAATGCAAAACGTAATATTGCATGAATTTAAATTCAACTTCTGATAGAAACAAACTAAATAGTTAAATGTAAAACTACATCAATTTCACTTATTAGCTTTCATCCCCCTGATTCATATGTAATATTATTTTCTCTAGGACACTGATATAATGTGGTTAAGAAATCCATTTACAAGGCTGGGAAAGAATGAGACAGAAGACTTCCAAATCAGTACTGACATTTATCTTGGTGATCCTTGGTCAGAAAAGCATTTAATCAATACTGGATTTTACTTTGTGAGGTCAAACAATAAGACCATATCCCTATTTGAAACATGGTATGGTCAAAAAGACAATGTTACAAGAAAAAATGATCAAGATGTCCTTATTGACCTCATTAAAATTGGTATAATTAAAGACTTGGGACTCAAGGTTAGATTTTTGGACACCCTTTATTTTAGTGGCTTTTGTGAAGATAAAAAAGACTTTAGTGCGGTCATCACCATTCATGCCAACTGTTGTAGGAGTATTATTGCAAAAGTGAAAGATATGAAGGCAGCTCTCCGTGATTGGAAACGATTTAAGAAGTTGGATGTTAATTCCACTGTGAATTTCCAATGGACTGTGCATGATTGGTGTTGGCAATCTTGGGGAAGACCTAGCAAAATAAAAGGCTAAGAATCATATCTTGTTGAGTGATGATACTCAAAATTATTTGACTATTTTTCTATGTTATCCAAAGAGGTTTCGATTTTTATCTAGAAAAGTGATAACATTGTAGTTTTTTTTTTGTTTGTTTCATGTCCTAATTATAACGAGGCTAATAATGAATAAAAAAATTGTATGTATGTATTGTGAAGATTAAGTAGGCTAAATTAAGCCTATGAAATGAATATAATATATTTTTTTTTTGATAAGCAAAAAATTTTTAATTATAAGGAGTACAAGGGGTACTCCAACCCATTACAGAAGAGTTCAAAATCTAAGCAAAATTATGAAATACACAAACGTGGACTGAAATACCAACTAGAGTACGTTGCATGGTCTTATCATGCACCTAGATGTAGCCTAACTAAACCCAAAGATTCCTGTAACATAGTAAGTTATTTCAAAAGGCCCAAAAGCCCAATATGGGTGATTTAGTAGCCTAGAACGGACTGTTCCCAATTTGGAACGGGCCGTTCCAAACTACTAAATTGACCTGTAAATTATAGTTGAGAACGGGCCGATCTGGATGGAGTACGAGCCATTCTGGAGGGAGTACGGGACGTTCTGGAGGGAGTACGGGGCGTTCTGGAGGGAGTACGCGCTGTTCTGGATGGAGAACGGGTCATTCTAGATGAATCCCAGAACGGGCTGTTCTGGTTTCAGAACGGGTCATTCTGCATGTGATTTTTGCACATGATGAAGGGGTGCAGAACGGGCCGTTCTGAATTCGGAACAGGCCGTTCTGGCCACTCCTGAACTTCCATAAATAGGGGTTGTGTGGTTGAGGAGAAAGTGAAGTTTTTAGAGAGAAGTTTTAGAGTGAAGGACTCTGGGTCTGTGAGCTCCTTTCTCTCCCAAATTTCTCTGTATGATTCCTTTTCTCCTTTAGATCACTAATGCCTTTTGTCTTTTCTTGAAATTCGGATTAGGAAGCTTGCTTTGGGATGATTGAAGTTTCAGGTTGAGCTTCAGAAGGGAATTCTACTTCTTCTCAGTTATTGGCTATTTTGAGCCAATCTTCAGGTGAGGGAAGCTAGAATGTTTGTTTTTTAAGTTGCATGTGAGTTTAGAAACTCAATTGAAGCATGAAAGTTGAGGATCCATGACTGGATCGGAGAATTTGCTCATTTTTTGGAGTTTTGGGAAAATGGGGTTTTTGGTGAATTTGATGCATCAGATAGGTGCATGTTGATTTTGAGTTTGTTTTGTGTTGTATGGAGCCTATGCATTGTGTTTTTGTGTTTGCATGTGGTTGAATGTTGGGCCAGGCGTGACTTAGTTGCGTTGGGCGTGGAGACTCTTAGGAGTCTCTGTCTCAAGGACACCGAGCGTATGATGGAATCACACTAAGGCCAAGAAGACCAAGAGGTGATATTTTGAAAGAGGCAAGAGGAATGGGTTAGTTTTGAAAACCTAAGAGGAGTGGGCCTACTTTTGGGCCTTAGCTCCTACGTTTTTATTAGTATAAAATTTATTCCTATTTTGCCCTTATCTTTAAATTTCCCATTTTCACCCTTGTATTTTGGGTATCTTAGACATAGGATTTATTTTCTTTTTTATTTCCCATTTTACCCTTGTATTATGGGGTATCTTAGTCATAGGATTTAATTTCTTTTGTATTTCCCATTTTACCCTTGTATTTTGGGGTGCTTTAGATCATAGGTTTTTAATTTTTGGGCTAAGGTATTTAATTAGGGAGCTAGACGCATTTTTGGTGGTGTTTGGACCTATTTTTGGACATAGAAAGGCTTAGGCCCAAGTGGAGGGCAAAGGTTGCATGGTCTTATCATGCACCTAGATGTAGCCTAACTAAACCCAAAGATTCCTGTAACATAGTAAGTTATTTCAAAAGGCCCAAAAGCCCAATATGGGTGATTTAGTAGCCTAGAACGGACTGTTCCCAATTTGGAACGGGCCGTTCCAAACTACTAAATTGACCTGTAAATTATAGTTGAGAACGGGCCGATCTGGATGGAGTACGAGCCATTCTGGAGGGGGGACGGGCCGGTCTTCCCCTACCAATAGCTACTTCCCCCGTGGGACTCCCATTTATACACGTGTTTATTTATACATAGGAACATATGTCTGGTTTGAATTTATTTTAAAGTTTGATTAAATTAAATTAATAATTAACTAAATAGATTTTTCAACAAATATTATTCAAACTTGTTTGTGAAAAAAATTAGGTTACTTGAATGAAATAAGATATCTACAATTACAAAAGAAAAAAAAGAAAAGAAGAAGATATCTACATGATACTAGATATTTTTCCTTTAAGAAATGAAGAGAATTTGACGCATGTACTTGCACATATATATATATATATATATCATAAATTAAAAAAAAAAA